GAATTAATGTTATATTCTTATGTAGTTGGTTTGTTCGCAGTAAATGTTCTGGATTATTCCAAAAACTTCTGCACCGCCATCGTATAACTTCTCTGTACCTCTTCTCGAAATATGTTCATGGTAATAGCTCTGAGGAAATTTCTTCTTTAGTACCTCGACTTTAAGAATTTAAGCTCTGTACAAGATTGATAGGTCTCATCTTTTAAAGTTGAAATGGCGAGATGCAACTATGCTAACACTTTCTTCTATCGCACTTCTCACTTGTGGAACTCTTTTCCGTTTTCTTGTTTTCAAGACAACATTGATCTTTAAAAATATAAATGCAATACCAGTCGTTATCTTCTGTCTTCTTAATTCTTGTTCTTTTATCTTTATTTAAAAAAATAATTTTTTCTCATGTTCACTTAATAACCCCTTGCGCCTTAGTGGCTTTATTACCTTGCTTGGAGTGAAATGATTAAACAATTTTTTTCCATATAATTTTCTCCAAACTGTTCAAATATATATTTTTGTCTTACCTTCTCAAACATTTTTATGTAGTCTAATCCTTCTGCTTTTGTATTGTTTACTTTTATATCTTTCAGATAATAAAGATCGCATTTCTTGTTCCAGTGTCTTTAAGGAAACCACAATATTCTTCTTTTATTTCCGTTTTTTTTTAAATACTGTATACACATTTTTGTTATTATTGTGTTCTTTTTCTTCTTCATGTGTCCTAAATAAAGGTTGTCTAGTGATAAATCTTGAAAGGCTAAAGATGTAAGGATACTAAATGAAAAAAAATGTGGATTCAAGCCGAAACTTGAGAAAAGCTGTTGTCTGTTTAGAGGAACTGTGTAAATATTTTTGCGAATACCATGTCGAATGCCTTAAAGGAATTCATTTAACGGGTGGTACACTTTTCAGGAGATTGGTTTAATGGCAGATATTGAAGAGCATACTGAGTGATTCTATGGTGATATTTGTCTTTTCAGGCGAGAGATAGGAGAGTTTTTTTTTCTTTACTAATCTAATAAATTTGTCAAGTTTAGGGAGGTTGCAAAACTGTGAGGGGTTAAGATTTTGATTTGGGTTTTTCTATCTATCTATCTATCTATCTATCTATATATATATATATATATATATATATATATATATATATATATATATATTACAAATTAACTGATTTAAATATAGTTTCTTCGCTACTCAGGAATTACCATGTTTCAAAAACCGAAGCTAAAAAACTTCAAATTTAATTATATAATTAAATTAAAAGTATTAGTTCTGTTTCATCTTCAAGCGAATTTTGGAATAACTTATTTCTAAAGATTTTAAACGCACATACAATTCACAATTTTTTGTTTCCAAGGATACAGAGAAATCCAATGATTGGATTTCTCTGTATCCTTGATAACGGTTTTCGAAACATGGAAATTCTTGTGTAGCGAAGAAACCATATTTTAAATCAGTTAATTTATAATATTTATGCTCAGCAAATTTACAATGAGCGCTGTTTTGTAAAAATAAAAATATCAATAACAACACTGGATTATATATCTTACTGTTCTTTCTTTTTATTATTATTATAATATATATATATATATATATATATATATATATATATATATATATATATATATATTGGGTCCAATGGATGGATTGCGCTCTATATTACACAAAATTATAACCCTGATATCTCATTTAAACAGATATATTTGCCAAAATTAAAAAAAAAAATATATTGATTTACTAAAGAATAAATATTTTCAATAAATCCGGTATTGCCTTCATCCACGGCCTCAAGATGACTTCAGAATCTCCTGCAACTCTTCTGAGCAGTCTCCTGGTTTAAGTTGAGGAATGATGTCATAATTTTTGCCTTCAGTTAATCTTCGGTGTTTCAACGAGTTTTGCTGGTCTCTTGATCAACTTCGACCCACAATCAATGGGGTTGCAGTAGAAGTCGTATTTTAAGGGGTGATGTGGTCGCAGTAATTGTTTGACAGCCATGACTGGGTTCTCCAGATCGTATGGCATGATGTAGAGTCCTGTTGCCAAAAATAATGCCATCCAGCGGTCACCTCTTGACCCAGGGTAGAAAAACCTCCTCAAGGCCCTTGATGTAAGCCACCATGTTGAGTTTGAGGCCCTGTGAGAAAATGAATGGAGGTATAACGTCGCCATCACCAATGATCTTTTCAAACACCATTAACTCTTAATCACCATCTCTTTTTGAATCCACTGCACAGTCCTTAGATTGTCACCCAGTCACTCTAAAATGTTTGTATAGGAGATTCCGGTGCGAATGCCAAGCAGTAAAGCATGTCGTTCCCAGATTTCTGGTGGAGTGAATTGCGAAATCGTGCTCTTTTTCTTACAGACGGTGCCCAACTGACCCTACTATGCTAGGCGACAAAATGAAAAACAAACGCGTATGCGAGAAAGTAAAAATATAGTATGGCGACAATTTACCCATCGCACATTATATATATGTGTGTATGTATATGTGTGTATGCATATGTGTGTGTGCGTGTGATGAATATAATTGTACACATAAACCCAATTTTGTGTAGAATTCTAAAATTAGACAATGGTTCGTTTACGCTAAATTCAAAAATTTGGACATCGGCTCAACAACCAGTTGAGTTAAATCGTTAGAATTAGTAAACGTTTATAATCCGTGTCCCTAAATATCCAACCAGAAGCTGACAACTTTTAGGTCGTGGTTTTACCTGATGGAATAATCACGTCTTGCCCATATTTAATTCGTTATGCCGAAGTTAGAACTGTCCACTCTCGAAACCTCTCTATGTGCAGTATGATGGGAGACGTCTTTTGTGAGACGTGGTAACTACTATCAATTGTTTATTATAAATTATTGAATCTCATGAAGACTGAAGATGTGATATAATTTTTTTGTTTGAAGTGCACTCAATACAAGGCCGGAGAACCACTCAAAATAGATTTGTTGGTTGGTAGTTTTTTTTGTTTAGAAGCATATCAATTTCTTTGGGTTATTTAATGTCGAAATGTAAATTTGTAATCAGTTTAATTTTATTATACATTTTTTATATTATAATAGTTTTAATGATCGAGTTTGTTCTCAATCCATTTACTCAACCTCTCTAGGTAGGTTATACGCTCTTTTCCCCGTCCCACTTGCCTTCAGATTATGAAGTGAGTATCAAATTTCCCAAGCCAACTTTTCTCATTATGCGCCCTAGAAATATCAACCGTTTCTTCCTTATCGTTTCGATTTCTCTAAAACTTCGCCGTTGCTCACATGTTTGGTCCATCGTATTCTCAACCCTAGAAATTGCAGAAGCATATTTCTGTTGCTTCAAATCTGTTATTCATCTGTGAAGAGATTGTTCAGCATTCATTGTCATACAGGAGGACTGATATTACATAACAGTTCAGTACTCTTTTCTTTGTTTCTGTTGCTTCAAATCTGTTCTTCATCTGTGAGATTATCCAACATTCACTATCAAATAGGAAATTTGATACTACATAACAGTTCAGTACTCTTTTCTTTGTTTCTGTTGCTTCAAATCTTTTCTTCATCTGCGAAGAGAGGAGGATTGATATTACGTAGCAGATCAGTACTCTTTTCTTTGTTTCTGTTGCTTCAAATCTGTCCTTCATCCGTGAGGAGATTTCCAGCATTCACTACCAAGTAGGAAATCTGATGCTACATAACAGTCCAGCACACGTTTCGTACTTCCTAACGAAGCTGTTGTTTCTTAATAGTTTGCTTAGCTTTTGGAAGGCATCTTTCGCTATGCCAATGCTTTCCAGATTTAAGCGTCGCACGTTACGTCCTGTCAATATACTTCTGGATATTTAAATTATTGTATTTGGTGTTGTACCTTTTGCTAATAACGTAGCATTTTGTTTTCTTACAAGTGATGTTTATTCTTTCATTGTTCCATTCCTTTGATACTTTCTGTAGGATTTCTTGTAGTTTCTTTTATGTGTGTGCTACCAACACTGAAAAAACAATACAATATGGTGATAAATATTTAGAAAAAATGCCAACCAATTCGAAGTTTGCTTTCTCTTTTAGTCTTCCGTACTGGAAAACGGTCTTTCGTGTCATGGTTTATTGCCGCCAAAAATTTCAACGACGCAGTCATATTAAAGATTGTGTATCTTCGAGGAAAAACTTGCAAACAGATACTATGTTTGTTTGCTTATCACACCTATATCACCTCAGACGGCGGCATTGCTCAGGACCTTGACATCATCTATCGTCAATCGACCATCTCGTTATAATCTAGAAAAAATGAACAAAAAATAACACAGAAGCAAAGTGAAGTAAAATAAATGAAACATTCGGTATCGTATTTAACGTTTTGTGTGATGCAGGGATCTTTTTTCCATTTTCACATTTAAATCTTATTTTTATTTTTCAAGTCGGAGGGATTCCTTCTGCACCACCTTCCACAAAAAAAATTCTCCGCATTTGGGCCCTAAAATATAAATAAATGGATAAGCATCAGAAAATCGTAGAAACAACAACCTTAACTTACTTGTTATTTTTATGATACAAACTGATTAAACATATAATTACAAGCAGAAGAAGAGAAAACATGCCATCTTTAAATCAAAACCAAAGAGGTTATCACTACAAGATATATATATATATATATATATATATATATATATATATATATATATATATATATATATTGGAAACATTGATGGATGGAGCTACGTCTCAGCTTAAGCTGATAAGTGGAAAAATAACAAAAAACAAATTTTCCTGACGACATTGACCATTCGTAACTTTGCTTAAATTCTGCGCTGTATAATAGAGAATAAACACAATCTATCGACGTAAAAGCCATTGCTCATTTAATAAACACGTCGTTTGTTTGTTTGTTATTTTTTTTACTCTTTAACTGTATTGCTGTGAGTATGAATATTTTAAGTTGTGAACTTTGATTTTCAGAGCATTGCCTCCACAAAATTGGTTTGTGTTTATTCATCCCATATACGGATTTACGACTATATTACATTAAAACACCGGTTCACTTACGATCAGCGAAGGTAAGAAACGTCGTACCTGGTCAGTACTTAGATGTATGACCGCTTGGAAAGTCCAAGTGTTGGAAACTTGGATGTGTGCGTGGTGTAATTGATAATGGCTAGGTATAGTTAATCGGAGAGACAAGTTCCAATTTTAGTTGTACTCATTCTATTCTATTTAGAAAGGCATGAATCCACTTCTTCTGGTCTTAAATGAATTTCAAAGATTATAAGCTGTGGAAAATGAATATGTCGATCAATTAAAACTGATTGTCTTAATGTCCTCGACATGATCCAGAGATGTATATGCAATATGATTGGCCTTAAACTGGCATCTCATTTACAGTCGCTTTCTCAAAGACATGCCGTCGCTTCCTTCTGTCTTTTCTAGAAATTCTTTCACGGTAACTGCTCCGACGAATTACTTTCGCTGGTTCCCAAACTGCATGAATTTAAACGTGCTACTAGGTTGGCATCTCAGTCCCACCCTTTCACTGTCGAAATGGTTAAATTTAGCCGTCTCTTCTACTCTAATAGCTTTATGTCTCGCATTTCCCGTGTGTGGAACTGCCTTCCTTTTACTTGCTTCCTGATAGTTATAATCTCCAAAGATTCAAATGCAATATCAATCGACATCTCCAGATGCCTTGATCTATTCCCCGTCCTTCTCTTCATCCTTTCCTCTATCACTCTTCTTTAATCTTGCTCCCACTCTCTGTAACCCCTTACGTGCTAGTGGCTCTCCCATCTTGCTTGGGGTGAAATGCTTAAAAAAAGGGAAACAGATCATTCGAAAGAAAAACGAATTTCTTTCCTAATACTAGAAAAGGTGTAATAAAGAAGAAAGAACCTGTTAATGGTTGTCAAACTGGGACAAAAACAGGGATAATTGGGATGCATTTAGTTAAATTTAAATGACATAGAAATAGATAAAATATGTTTTATATTTAGTTTATATATTTACGCGACCTTTCAGGTGATGGATTATTTTACACTTTACAAAAAACTTTCTCACCGACGAAATATCGCGAGCCTGTTGCATCTCTGTTGCTATTTCCATGGAAAATATTCTTTATAGTTCGAACAGTTCATAGATTAGAGCTAAAATCCGTCATGCCACGTACACAGGGTTCGAACCACGCCCCATTCCCTTTATATTCCACTGGTAAGGAAGAAGTACCATTCAGAAAAGTTCTTCCCAAGAGCAATTGCTTTGTGGAAAAGACTCCCGACAGGATGCTTCCTAGTTTACTACAGTCTTAATATCTTCATGTCCTTGCTCAACTCTACAATTATTGCGTCCATATAAACATCGGTAACGGTAATAATAGCCGTTTCCCTACAAGGAATTATTTGGCAGTAATTAATCGAGCAGCCAATGTTGCTTGCTGTTGAAACTTATAAAATCTTAAAATTTTAGTTGTTGCTTCTGTTGATAGTCTTCAAGTAGTGTTGTTTATGTTATTTGATACAGTTCTTTGTGATTCTATAACGCCAAGCCAAAACATTCAAAGAAAGATGGTTCTTGCAAAGCCCCCAGTGTTTAATCGTTCAAAGCCATATTTAACTATTGATCTGTGAAATCGGTTTTACACAGCCAACAGTTTTGATAATTCTGAAAGGAGACAAATCCAGTGAAGGGAAACAAATATTCGTACACATACAAATTTTTAATTTATTGTATTTCCAACTAATGAATAAGTTTTAAAAAAAAGTGAAAAAGCAGTAGTACACTATAAATTTCAGGTTTTAAAACATTAAAATTGCTTTAATACTCTAAATTATTCGAGTGCAATATTCTAGAACGTTCCAATAATGATATCAATAGTTATTTTTAACCTAAAAAAAAAAAAAAACACAAAAGATTCTGTAATTAATATTCGATCAAGAAATTTATCATCATGGTAACAGGTAAAGAATTGACAAATTCGCAAAAATAACTGAGTGTTAAGCTCTGGGAAAAAGGTAAAAGTTACAGGAAAATCTCAGACAAGCTGAATATTCCATTTCCTACCATAAGTTCATTCATTGCAAGATATACCAACACAAATATTTTGAAAACTAAAGAAGACTACGTGCTCCACGGAAGATTTCCTCAATATCTTCGAGGAAATTAATGCATCAAATGAAACAAAATCCAATAGTTACTCGTCAAGAGTTACAGGATGATTTGATTTCATCAGGAATCTGTGTAACTAAACGGATGATAAGTAATTCATAGGAACACTCTAAAGTCACCCTCCCCTAGTAAAAGTTCACTGCTCTTGAAAAGATACAGAGATGCCACATTGAAATGGAAATATAAGGATAATAAAAAAAATAGTTTTGGGAAAGAGTATAATGGACAGACGAAACTAAAATTGTTTTGTTTGGACGTAATTCTAGAAATCATGTATGGAGGAAAGATGGCGATACCTTCAAACAAAAGAACACAATTCCAACATTGAAATTTGGTGCTGGCAGCATCATGATTTGGAGATATTTTTCTGTAAACGGTTCTCGCAACATATCAGTAATAAATGGTAGAATGAAGGTCGAAGCATATCAAAATATTTTGGAAGCAAATTTAATGATTTCGGTTGAAAATCTTGAACTTCGTTATGATTGGATTTTCCAGTAAGATAATGATCCTGAGAACTTTGCAAAATATCCGAAGAAATGGCATGCTGAAAATGATGTAAATATCCTGAAATGACCAAGTCAGTCCCCAGATTAAAATTCAATCGAGAGCCTGTGGCGTTATTTCAAAATTCAATTCCAATCGAGAGGTCCAACAAACATCCCGGGTCGGAAGGCTATATGCGAAGAAGAATGGCGCAAAATACCAACTAAAATTTGCAAATCATTGAGAACTAAAGGAGAGACTGGTTACTGTAGAATTGAATAATAGTTATTCTACAAAGTAATAAATGAAGGTTATGTTCTCTTTTATAATTTATGTATAATTATTTCACTCATTAAAATGAATAAATTGGATTTATTTCTATCAATTCTTTCAGTTTTCTATGCTTGTTTAGTTATTGTTCATCTGTGTACAGTTACTTATATGAAACTTATGGTTATTCAGCAGTTGGAAATAAAATAAATAAAAGATTTGTATGTGTGCGAATATTTTCCCCCACTGTATGACATTCATATGAATGTTTCCATCTGATTAGACTATTTAAGATCATTACTCGAGTTTTCAGGTTGATATTTTGTGTAGCAATTTGCAGTGTTGTGGGAAAATACATCTGATCCAGTCAATGTTCAACTTCCTTTTCACCAGTACTAAATTAATCCATACACCAAGTGTGTAAAATAGATTTCCCCACCATAGATATATGTATATGGGTATGTGTGGTGTGTATCGGAGCATCAATTTTGCATTTAGTTATGTTTATGTTAACGAAGATATTTTGTTAAAGGTTAATCGTTAATTTTTTTAAAATTCCGGACCATTTTAGGGTTTCTAGACAGAATTTAAATGTGAAATGTCTAGCATTTTCCGTGCTTTTTCTGTTCTAAATAAAACATTCATAAATGTTTCTTTGTTTCTTTGGTAGGGATGTGTCACTAGGTAGCTTTTCTTTAGTGGTTTTCGCCTGTCGCGCGTCGTTCGTGAATAATTATAGAAACAACCATCTTTGTCCACAACTAATTCTTTGATAATGGCTCGTACAAACACACTAAAGAAATTATATTCAAATTTCAACAAAAATATGAAATGTTCAGAAGTGAAAATAAAATAAAATTCTTGAACAAAAAAGTCTCTCGGTCTTCAAAAACACCTCAAATAATTGCTGATACCCCTGACGAGGATACTCGGAGGAGTCCGTCTACGAAAATCTGGAGTCGGAATGCTGAAGTGAAATCAATCAGCTAAGTGAGAAAACTTTTAATTGTATTAATATATATATATATATATATATATATATATATATATAAGAATAGAAGATAAAACTTAAAATGAGCTAAAAGCTTAAAATAGGAAATAAATTGAGGGCTCAATATCAAAGTCGACTATGCCTAATTATAATATAATAATATTATCAATGCCAACATCTGTTACACTGAGTTTCATGTAATAACAATTATCAGGTTCAACTTCGCTTGATGATTGTTATTACATAAAACTCTGAATATTTCTATTGATAACATATATATATATATATATATATATATATATATATATATATATATATATTTCGATAAACGTGCAATCAATTTACATAAATTCATGAATTATTCATACAAAAACAAATACAAAGGTTAATGATTTAATTGGCGAGAAATCCATCGTCGCAAGCAATTCAAATAATATACAAAAACCTCCGAACCTGTTATGAATGAAAAGATCCTTGTTTCTATAAATTTCTGTTGCATTAGTTCTTATTTTACTACAAGCTTTCGTCTGTTCCTACAGACATCTTCAGGCATGGAATAGATGTTGTTCTTGTTTTTTCTCTCAGTAACAAGAGGACAACGAAAATATATGTATTGTTGTATGCTATTGGAAATGAGTTATTGTTTTTGGAGCGTGCAGTAGCAACGCTGAGTTTGATTTTAAATTTTACAGTTCTTGTACAAATATGGTGATAAGCGAATTTTTTAATGGTAAATTTTCTGTCAAAGTGGCATTCTCCCCGAGACAACGTTCAGTCATCCACATGCTCAAGCTCACCAGGTATGTCACGTGCTGCTTTCTCTTGTCTCTCTTTCCCTCTGTTCAACTCGTGAGTATCAGATTCTCCAAGCACTCCTTCCTCATTATGTGTCCCAGTAACTTCAGATGCCTCTTCCTGATGTTAAGTATACGCCTTCTCCTTGTTTGCAACCTCGCTAAGACCTCGGTTCAGATATCCTTAAGAACCCTTCTGTAGAACCACATCTCCGTCAACACGAGTCTCTTTTAATCTTTGAGGAAATCGTCCAACATTCGCTGCCGTAAAGGAGGACAGATGTCACGTAACAGTTTAGTATTCATTTCTTTGTTTACCAAAGAAATCCTCCTGTCTTGCAGTACTCTGCCAAATATCAGGCTGTTTAATATAACTGAGAGCAAATATATTTATTATGCAAAAAATACTCGTAATAATCGCTCAT